CTGGCCTTAATCTCCTTCCGGGCTCCGTCGTCGCCTCCCTGTGACTCAAGCTGCAGGCAGGCAGGCAGGCAGGGATGAACGGAATCACACAAGAGTCAAGTCACATCACATCTATGTGGTGCTCAGCTCAGGTGCTCACTCCACTCACTTGCGATTCTCGTCTCGGTTGAGGTATGCGCGCATCCTGGCCTTAATCTCCTTCCGGATGGCGGCTACCTTCTCCTCCTTGGGATTTGGCGCATACCGCTCGAACGGGTCGGGGCTGCGGGGCGGCGTGTGCACCGACCAGTGCATACCGAGAGGGAAGGCAAGGCAAGGTCAATGAGTGTCTGGTTTGAAGCGTGCCTCAAGAACCCTTCTACCTACCTTGAGGGCGAGATTGCGTCGCCGCCTGCACTCGTCCGGCGACTGTTGCTGTTGCGGGGGCTGGTCACCATCATCATCACCACCAGCACCTCCCTGCTCGCCACGGCTACGTCCTCCTTGGCCAGGGGGACGGCCGCCGAAGCGGCCAAATATGCGGAGACAAACAAAGAAGGTAAGAGGAGAGACATGAGCGAATCTGTCCGTGAGCCTCTTCCTTTCTCCCTCACACACTAACGTACCTGTGGGACCGCCGGGAATACCAAAACGATTTATAGCAGGCAGCCTTGGATGAAGTGGAGCCAGCGATCGATCTGCACACAGACGCTAGACACGTACACGCGAGTCGATCAGTCTGCTTTGACAGCTCACCTTCAATGCGCACACGGCGGGGCAAGGCAGTGCAACCGGTTCCGGGTTTGTCATCCGTCCCTCAAATATAAAATGTAGCCAGCGATGAGAAAATGCAGTCGTCCGGCTTGCCCTTGATCAAAAGGGACCGCTGCTCCGTCGTCGCCTCCCTGTGACTCAAGCTGCAGGCAGGCAGGCAGGCAGGGATGAACGGAATCACACAAGAGTCAAGTCACATCACATCTATGTGGTGCTCAGCTCAGGTGCTCACTCTACTCACTTGCGATTCTCGTCTCGGTTGAGGTACGCGCGCATCCTAGCCTTAATCTCCTTCCGGGCTCCGTCGTCGCCTCCCTGTGACTCAAGCTGCAGGCAGGTAGGCAGGGATGAACGGAATCACACAAGAGTCAAGTCACATCACATCTATGTGGTGCTCAGCTCAGGTGCTCACTCCACTCACTTGCGATTCTCGTCTCGGTTGAGGTATGCGCGCATCCTGGCCTTAATCTCCTTCCGGGCTCCGTCGTCGCCTCCCTGTGACTCAAGCTGCAGGCAGGCAGGCAGGGATGAAGGGAATCACACAAGAGTCAAGTCACATCACATCTATGTAGTGCTCAGCTCAGGTGCTCACTCTACTCACTTGCGATTCTCGTCTCGGTTGAGG